AAGGAAGGAAGGAAGGAAGGAAGGAAGGAAGGAAGGAAGGAAGGAAGGAAGGAAGGAAGGAAGGAAGGAATCCACTGCAAGGCTAGGCACCATATCTATTCTGTTTGTATTATACAGAAAATGAGATTGAAAATAATGAAGAGTTCCTCTTCCTCCTTCTACTCCTCCTCTTCCCCCCCTTCCTTCTCCTCAGTGCTACTGAGTTTTGTCCAAACTGGTCCCTTAGATTTTGAAGCTACAATGTTCTTCTTCTGCTTCTGCCTCCTTTGCCTTCAATCTTTCCCTAGAGGACTAAGTGAAGGATGCTGTATTTTTCTGGGTGTCACATCCCATGTCCAAAATAACTTTCACTATCTTTCACTTTTTAATGGCTTAGATGATTTCCTTTGGCTTTCCCAGGCGGCTCATCAAAGCCTCATTTCTGATTTTGTCAACCCAGTTTATACGTAACAGCTGCCTGTAAATCCACATTTCAAATGCTTCTAGTTTCTTCAAGTGGTTTTCTGTCAAAGACCAACTCTCCACTCCATAGGGCAGGATAGAAAAGGTATAACATCTCACAAGCCTGATTTTCAATCTTAGGCTTATGTCGTGACGGCAGAAGATCTTTTTTATTTTGAAGAATGCTGTTCAAGCTTTCTCTATCCTTGTCTTTACTTCACTGATCATGTCCCAGCTTTCATGTAAATTAAAACCAAGGTACATGATCCTTTCAACTTTTTATAGTGGTATTCCTTCCAAATTTATCAGTGGTAACTTAATGGGTTGTTTGCTGATGACCATGATCTTGGCTTTTGAGGTTCAAGCCATTTTTTCAGATATTTCTGAGACACTGTTGTCAAGGAGCTGAAGGTCTTCATGCTTACTGGCAAGCAGAACTGTATCATCAGCATATCTTATATTGTTGATCTGAACACCGTTTATTTTGAGGCTGCATCAATGTTTTCCAGGGCTTCATTGAAAATTGACTACACATTTAGGCAAGCCAATTAACAGAAGCCATATTCTCCAGTTGTGCACAAATACAAAATCTTCATCAAAATTACAGAGTTGGCAGGGACTTAGGAGGTCTTCTAGTCCAACCCCCTGCTGAAGCAGGAGACCCTATTTCATTTCAGACAAAATTTTCAATCTCTCCTTAAAAATCTCCAGTGATGGAACATCCACAACTTCCGAAGGCAATAACTTCATCTGTGTAAAGTTTGTGTAGATCTGTCTTTCTGCTACGTTAGAGAGTACTATATGCCATTCCTCCAGCCTGGGACAGGATAAATGGCTTGAGAGTAGGTGTAGCTTTGGGAAAAATCTAAATGCTGCCTCCTTACTTACGGTTGGGTTATTTTATTTTATTTTTATCTGCAGGAAATAAAAGCTGCTAAAGAAGAACTTAGCTTTGAGCAATTTCATCTTTTCTACAAAAAGATTATGTTTGAGCAACAGAAATTGGTAAATGTTCTGCTCTTATCTTACTTCCTCTTCATAGGCAGAGTGTCGTTCTGTGTTGTAGCCTGAATGTAGTAATTAGCTAGTACATATGTTTTCAGTCTTATATTTAATTCAAGCATGATACCAAACTTCCTTACTTTAAATTGAGTAGATTCAGAACTGTAAGGGTCTATTGTATATACAAACACATGTGTGTGTATGTGTATGTATGTGTGTATGTATGTATATATGATAGACTTTTACATATATATATATATATATATATATGTGTGTGTGTGTGTGTGTGTGTGTGTGTGTGTGTGTGTGTGTGTGTGTGTAGCAATAGCAGTTCGACTTATATACCGCTTTATAGGGCTTTCAGCCCTCTCTAAGCGGTTTACAGAGTCAGCATATCGCCCCCACAGTCTGGGTCCTCATTTCACTCACCTCGGAAGGATGGAAGGCTGAGTCAACCTTGAGCCGGTGAGATTAGAACCGCTGAACTGCAGATAACAGTCAGCTGAAGTGGTCTGCAGTACTGCACCCTAACCACTGCGCCATCTCGGCTCATATGTATATGTATATGTATAATCTATAAAACTCCTCAAGCTGGTGTTTTTGGCTTAAAGCGTGGCTGGCGCTGCCCTCTTTCTATATAGAATTTATAGAATTCTTTCTATTTATAGAAAGATGGCAGCTCTGGCCACGCTTTAAGCCAAAAACACCAGCCTGAGGATGGATATTTTCTATATATATAAATTCAAAGTTCAAACCCTTTATTGTCATTGTACATCATGTACACAACAAAATTGGTTTAGCCTCTACTGGTGCAGTCCATACAAGAATACAAGACAATGTGAATAATATAAAGAATAATCCTTATATAAGTAGTCAGGAAAAAAAAAATCCCTGGTCATACGTTTCCATATGTACATCAAATTCTGTGCAACATGTATATTACTCTGGTGTATTATCTTATATCATGGTATATACATATTACTACACTAAACTGGCACCAGTGAAATTCATCATATTAATCAGTTTGTGGTGCTATATTCTATTCTTTATAGATATATCTAAAGATTTAAGTAGGTTGGCAAAAATGTAAGAAGAAGCATGTTTTCCAAAATAGAACATAAATAAATAAAATTTAAAAAAAGCTTTTGATGATTTTCAGTTGTTTAACCAACCTATTTTTCTCCGGGCAATAATTGTTCTGTGCAGAAGAAAATTATTTGTTCTTAATTCATCATTTTTCTCTTCCCAGATTCTGGATGAATTCAAAAAGGATTCTACTATGTTCCTCTTAGGGTGAGATATTGCATGAAGCAATTTTATTCACATCTGCATTTAAAGTGTTTTGATCAAAATCTTCCTTAAAATGTAATCATGTTGTGTATTCTGTTTATCACAGTAGATAAACTAATGAGGCATATTTGACCACGTGTATTATTTTATGCAAGGGATCTCGGCTTAGTAAACCACACTGAGCAAATGTCCTCCTGGAGTATGTTATACCTACTCATATTGGTATAATTTACATGAACGCAGGGTTATGGCTTATTGAAACTGAACAAGCCACGATCTGTAAAAGAACTTTTAAGTCAAGAGTTTGTTGCTTCTCATTTATTTGAGCGGAAAAATATCATCGAATTCTGAGGCACAAAATTTACACAGAGCTTTTAGTCTTTGGTCTAATAATCCATTTACTGTACAGAAAAGATGGGGAAAAACAATGCATTTCCATTCTGTTTCTTTATATAGTCATTGGATAAATCCTACGATTTAGGATTTTCTGGAAATGCAATTCCAGATTTACAGGTAGCCCTTGATTTATGACCACAATTGGGATCACCGCAACTGTCATAAAAGCAGGTTGTCCTCGACTTAACAACTGTTTAGTGATGGAAGTTACAACAGCACTCTAAAAAGTGACATGGCCATTTTTCACACTTTCACATCCCCATGGTCACATGATTTACATTTGAATGCTTGGCAACTGACTCGTATTTATGACGGTTGCAGTGCCCCAGGGTCATATGATCTTGCAGCCTTCTGACCAGCAGTATCAGCAGGGGAAGCCAGATTCACTTAACAACCATGTTACTAACTGAACAACTGCACTGATTTCCCTTAACAAATCCAGCAAGAAAAGTTGTGAGATGGGACAAAACTCGCTTCACAATTTTCTCACTTAGCAACATCCAGTTCTGGGTTCAATTGTTGGTCGTAAGTAGAGGACTACCTGTACGTACCAGTTGGAAAGCGCCAAAATTTTGATCGCATGACTGTGGGAATGCTGTGATAGGCACAGGCCCGTTGTAAGTCACTTTTTTCCACTGATGATGTAACTTACAACTGATCCTCACGCTTATGACTATTGAAGCATCCCCGCTGTCCTATGATCAAAATTCAGGCCCTTGACATAGTGGCATGTATTTACAATGTGTTCGAGGCTTCACAAAATCATGAAGGCGACTCCTTGTCCTGACAAAACCCCTTTTTATTAAGTTAACGTGAATTCCTCTCATTCACATCCTCTCATTCACATCCAGCAAAGTCCCGGCAAACAGTCTTTCAAGGGTGAATTTACAACTACAGACCTTATCAGGTTTGGAGAACTGCCAGGCCGATATCTTCGCAACACTGTTCAAGAAAATAATTGGCAAGGAGTCTCTGAGAATCACAAAGCTTCACACTAATTAAGCAAACTAATTGTCTCCTGCAAACTCTACTCCCCTTTCACTCCTCTTTATTCCCTCTGGGAGGGGACATTCACCGTCCACCTGTGCCTTTACTCCCGAGTCGGCCCTTGTTCCTTAACTGTTCACTTCTTCTGGCAGCCCCGCGCCTGCGCACATCGGGAACAGGCTCCAGCTGCTTGTCTGCCTCACTGATGTCTGACTCTGAAGGCAGCTGATAACTGGCATACGGCTCTGGCCCATCTCTGCCTCCAACACAGAACCATCATCAGAGCCTTCCCCAGATTCCAGGACTGGCCCATATTCCCCCCAACCTCCTTACTGTCTGAGTCTGCCACCAGCTCCGCTTGCCTCTGGCGGGACATAACACAGTGATTGCAGTATCATGGGGTCATATGATCACCATTTTGTGATTTTTCCAACCAGCCTCCTACACGCAAAATCCCTTTTACAACTGCACAAATCACTTAATACCTTGGTCTACATACCAAATGAATGACGCATTGGGATCCCCATATCAAAACACCTTCTGTGCGGCTAGATCTGAAAATAACATTGAACATAGCACAGTACTTAAGCAAAATGTGGGACTGATTGGGGGTAGATATTAGGGTTATACTGAAATATAATTTCATCATATTTTATCTCTATCTCAAATCATTGCATTTTACTCCAATTTCATTTTAGACTGTATTTTATCCAATTCATTTTAAATTGCTTTTATCCAATTTTAGTAATAATTTGTTTCTGGAACTTCTGAACTTTGATATGGCCCAAGGGCTAATCAATAAAATGAGTGATAATGACTTAAAAACTGCAGTGATTCCCTTGTCAAAAATGGTCATAAAATTGGGTGAGTCACATCCAATTTTATGGCCTTTTTTTGACAAGGGAATCATTTGACAGGGATTTGCTTGTCAAAAAAGATCACAAAAACAATGGGATGTTTAACCATTGCTCTGCTAGCAACGGGAATTGTGGTCCTACGGTAGTTTTGGTTGTTGTGCCATCATCTCTGCGCCTCCATCCTGTGAAAATAGGCAACAACTTCAAAGAGTCACGTCTGTGTTTACAAACCCCTGATCAGAACTTTTTCAAGGTGTTGCACAGCCCTGTTTTCCTAGTGCTATTTAAAATTCAAGGGACGCAGTGGCTCAGTGGCTAGGATGCTGAGCTTGTCGATCAGAAAGGTCTGCAGTTTGGCGGTTCAAATCCCTAGCGCTGCATAACGGAGTGAGCTCCCGTTACTTGTCTCAGCTTCTGCCAACCTAGCAGCTCCAAAGCACGGAAAAATGCAAGTAGAAAAATAGAGACCACCTTTGGTGGGAAAGTAACAGCGTTCTGTGCATCTTCGGCATTGAGGCATGCCGGCCACATGACCACGGAGATGTCTTCAGATAGCGCTGGCTCTTTGGCTTTGAAACGGAGATGAGCACCGCCCCCTAGAGTCGGGAATGACTAGCACATATTTACCTTATTTAAAATTCAGGAAATGAAACATTTGTTTTCTCAGATGCAATCATTCTTTGCTCTCTACCTTCCTTTCCCATCTAGTGTTTTAAACCTTTCCCATCTTTTCAACTGGCATTGCTCTAATAATTTTTCTCTTTGACCTACCCCGCAATTTGGGAGGGGGGGGAAATAATTAAGGTAAATAGTTCCAGAAGAAGATAATTATTTTGAAATGTTGATAATTAAATCCTCTTTTTTTCAAAACATTGGAGCCGGGAGTTCGTTCAGATGTCAGCCTGCTGCAGTTGTTTTGGGTTGAAGACAAGGCTTCTCTTGTTTACCAAATCTTAGCCTCAGCTTTGTCGGAATACATTCTGAATATTTTCCCTCCCGTCAAGTTGCTTTAACTTTTTTTGTTGCAGAAACACAGATCGGCCGGACGCTTCAGCAGTACATTTGCACGATTTTCAGAGATTTCTGCTACACGAACAACAGGTGCGAAGATCTTAATGCTCTTGTTTTTTCAACATACATGTATGTATGACATCGTGGTTAAATATAGTAGGATCCATTGATAGGGCTCATGGCAGAGCAAAAGAGTCATGATTAGACTCTTATTCGAGAAACTGGTGCTGAACAATACATTTTTATATCTGAAGGAATCAGCCTGGCTCTCCCTGCTTCTGGTATAATACCTATAATACCACCCTGCTTCTAGTATAATCCCTGCTTTTAGTGTAATGCTCTGCTTTTAAGATGAGCCAGAGTGGTAGCAAGGTTGACTCAGCCTTCTATCTTTCTGAGGTTGTAAAATGAGAACCCAGATTGTTGGGGCAAGAGGCTGATTGTGTAAACCGCTTAGAGAAGGCTGTGAAGCTCTGTGAAGTGGTATATAAGTCTAAGTGCTGCCATTGCTATCATGGAGCTAGAATTACGTATGCACAAAATTGGAAAATCGGAAGTACATCTACAGAAGAAATGGTAATAAAGAAAATATTAGAGTGTGCTGAAATGGACAGGTTAATAATGGGACTTAAAGATAAAGGAGAAATTACTCAATATGGGACTTATTGTATAAATGGTTGGATAATAGGTGGAGAGATTAGAAAATAACCAATGGAAGAAGATTAACAAATTAGAAACAAATACAGGTATGAAGATATACATAAGAATATATATTGTAAGCAATAGTATTATATGTGGCGATAGATTAAAATGTATAGAGTGATAAAAGTACAGAGTGTTATGGTACAATAATGGATACAACTGTGTCATAATGGATAATGATATAACTATGTCATAATGGATAATGGATATAACTATGTCATAATGGATAATGGATATAACTATGTCATACAATATCATGTATTTAAAAAGAGATTATTGGAATTTGGGCCTAGTCCAACACCTTAACCATTGTACCCCAAGTGTTCCCATGTGGTGACATCACTGTTTTGTTTCAAAGATGATAATGTTAGAGATGAACAGACATCTTTGATGATCCTCTTTGTAATTTCAGGAATCTTGGGCACAGGATCTTAATAAAGTAAGAGAGAGGATGTCCAGATTTATAGATGACACTATGAGGGAAACAGATGAACCTTTCCTCTATGTTGATGAGGTAAACAGGATTATTTCTTTGCAATATTTCTCCCATAAAGAATTTTATGGGGCTTCATCGTCCAACCAAAATTCTAAATTTCCAGTAAATGGTCTCATTTACTACTGACTCTAGGCAATATTTAAATAGATCACAGTATCTCCTATCTAATGTCAGTTTGCATTCCAAAGGTATAGTTTGAGTGTATTTGTGTGAATATATTGCCCTCAAGATGTAAAAATCTTTTCTCCACAAACTGGCCATTTGTCCTTAAAATCATCTTACTTGCCGCCATTTTAGGGCAGCTGTGCAATTAAACCTCCCGGAAATAAAAACCATAGCAGTAACATAAAGCATCAGAACATTTTAAAATTCTGGAGCCTATTAAAAGATCTTCATCGACCGTTTCAAAAAATAAATCAATCACAAGAAGTGGTTCCAGCAAGCATCTGAAGAAAAGATATTCCAAAGACTTTTCCAATATTGGTGGGGTAGCAGAAACTTGCCATTTTTTCCACACCAAGGGCCCATTTTTAATTAGTTTAGTTAACATGTCTGAAGGGTAAATCATACGATGAACGACTAAGGGAACTAGGTCTGTTTAGCCAAATGAAGAGAAGGCTCAGGGGAGACATGATGGCAGTCTTCCAATACTTGAAGGGCTATCACAGGAAAGCAAGGGTTGATTCTTCTCCATAGCGCTTAAGGGCATGACAAGAAGCAACAGGTAGAAGTTTATCAGAGGGATATTCAATCTGGAAATGAGAAGGGATTTCCTGACACTAGAAATGATTAATCAATGAAATAGCTGGAATTGTGGGTGCTCCATTGCAGGAGTCTTTAGGCCATTTGCCTTGGGCAACGGGTTGGGCTGAAGACCAACCTCTAAGATTCTTTTCCAACCTTAGGATTCTTTGTGAGTGGCTTTAGAGATTTTTTTGCCCTTGGTTTTACTTTGAGAGTGTTCAGATGAAAGAATAGACTTATGTGTGTGTGTGGGTGTGTATCTCTCTGTCTCTTTCTCTGTCTCTCTGTCTCTCTGTCTCACTCTGTTTCTGTATCTCTCTGTCTCTCTTTCTGACTCTCTTTTTCTGCCTCTGTCTCTCTCTGTGTGTGTGTGTGTGTGTGTGTGTGTGTGTCTCTGTGTGTGTGTGTCTCTCTCTGTCCCCCCCTCTCTCTGTCTCTCTCCATTCCTAGCCATGATACAGGACAAATATTTATTTATTAATTAAATTAAGTATGTAATAGAATGAATTTTCATGGACTCTCTTTCTCTGTCTCCTTGTCAAATCTTCTGAAATCCCTTCATTCTTGACCTCTGTTTCCCCATTTTTTATTTCTTAAAACAACTACACAATGACAACGGGAATGATGGGGTGATCATTGAATTAGTTCATCCTAGGTAAATAACATTTATTTACATTTCTCCATCTCTCTGTCTCTCTCTGTCTTTCTGTACTATAGTTTCTTACCTACCTTTTTTCAAAAGAAAACACCATTTGGGATGAGAAGTATGCTTCTGCTGACCCGCAAGATATGAATAATCCTTTATCCCATTACTGGATTTCTTCTTCTCATAATACGTAAGTTGTCAGTCTTTGATCTGACTGTATTTTATGATTGTGATCATGATTTATCTCGTTGCTTGTATGTATATACATTGAAAGCTTATGCACCTGAGACAAATTCCTTCTGTGTCCAACACTTGATCAATAAAGAATTCTATCTCTTCTATCTATCTGCTATCTGCTCACCTTTGATAACATGAAAATCTGCATTTCAGGTTTTTTTGTTTCAAGTTTTTTATTTTGTTTTATATATACGGTATGTATCAAAGTGTGAACAGTGTGGCACCTGGGTGTCATACGTTCTAATACAAATAAAACTAGTAGAATTAATAATAGTTATTACATTCAACCAACTTATATATTTCTAATAATAATACACATTTATATTAAGTTATAGTCTATCATTATTTAATTATTCCATGTTTTCTCTTGTTGCTTTTATTTTATGTAAGTGTATACACGAATATTCCCCCTTTCTCTTATTTCTATTTCTTATTCTAACTTTTAATCATGTTGCCCTTTTATTAAAAGATGCTTTCTTTCTATCCTACCTAACTTCTAATCATTTCACCTACCTATAAGAGAAAGAAGAGAAAGAGAAAAAAGCAAATCAGACAACAACAAAGAGAAATCATCTATCCATCATCTCTTGCCCACTTCAGTATTTTAATTGTTATGCTTTTTTTTTGACTTGCCTTCCATATTCCTCTCTTGCGTCGTTATCTCTGTCTGCATCTACTTCCTGGCTGTTCAATCTAAGTATTTCTCCCATTTCTACCCTCTTCCACTGCCTAGTTTCCAAAATTTCTGCTCAAGCCCCTATTACACAAATTCCTTGTGTGTCCAATCACACTTGGCCAATAAAGAATTCTATCTCTTCTGTCTGCTCACCGTTGATAACATGGAAAGCTGCATTTCATTTTTGAATGATTTTCTTTCTGGATTAGATATCTCACTGGTGATCAACTTCGTAGCGAATCCTCCCCAGAAGCGTACATCAGATGTCTCCGAATGGGGTGTCGGTGTATTGAATGTGAGTAATCTCTTTCTCCCTCTTCACCCCATATGTAAAAATTCATTAATAAAGGAGAATATGTGTAGCTCAGGATCGACAGGAGGGGAATCCCTCAGACTTTAAAATTACCATAATTTTAAAAAGTATAAAAAAATTTGAGGGGTGCTCTCTGAGCTTGCTTGTTTTCTTTCAAACATTTCAATAACATCATCAGTTACATGGTATCAGGCAACACTGATGATGTTGCCTAGTCTGATAATGAAACACCTGCAAGCAAACAACCAAACTCGGAGAGCACCAAGAACCCCCTCATAAAAAAATTATATTTTCTTAAATTATGGTATTTATTCAATTATGGTAATGTAAAGTCTGAGGGGTCCTTGGTCCTCTCTAAACTTGGTTCTTTTCTTGCAGATGTTTCATTATACTGCACTGATGATGTTACCAAGTTTGGTATTGAAACGTCAGCAAGGAAACAACCAAGCTCAGAGAGCACCAAGGACTCCTCATTTCAACCCTGAGCTACAAATATTCTCCTTTATTGGAATCTAAAATCTTTCAGGAGCAATAATATTTTTTAGAGGATCATTATATTCAAGTCTTTGTTTATTAAACTAATTCTACTTTGGGTGCTGAAATGTGCCTGCAGTTTACCAAGGAAAGATAAAACGACGGATACTAGAGTCGTTTATTAAAATAAACTAATTGCCATCCATTCTTATGAATTTCCTGTTGAATTACTCCGGACTTCATTGTTCAAAGCAGCCACCGCTGTGAATGTTTTTGTACTGCTTTGTTATCTCGTATATCAAGGAGCTAATCCTGGAGTTTCTTGCTTTGATTAGTAAATCAAGTCCTACCAAAACGGTGATTCAAAAAAGCAGAAAGTTGGGCACAGAAACTTGTAGTTCCAATCCAGATTTGCACTCTGTGCTGCTGGATTTTGTTGTTGTGTTTGTTGTTCTTTTGCTCTTCAAAAAAGAAATCCTTCTTCTAAAATGATCCCGCTGACACGGAGAAGCAGAAGAGAAATGATAAGACTTTCCTTTCCACAATTCTTAGATTCTACTTCTTTGACGCCCCAATAGTTCCATTGCCTTTCAAAATTAATAGCTTTTAAGTACTGTATCTAATTTGTCACTCACACGTCTCATTTATTTATTGGGCAATTAAATATTTAACTTTGGGGTCCTTAATGCTCTCTGAGCTTGGCAGTTTTATGGCAGACATTTCATTACCCAAGTAGGTAACATCATCAGTGCTAATCTTACCTAGTTTGGGTAACGAAACATCTGCAAGTAAACCATCAAACTCAGAGCGTGTCAAGGACCCCACAGTTCAACCCTGAGCTACAAATGTTCTCTTCTATCAATATTTAACTTTGTTGCAATTAAATTATTTTACTTTTTGTTACCTGTCTTAGTGGACTGCTGGGATGGTCCAGACGGAAAGCCCATTATCTATCACGGATGGACACGAACCACCAAAATTAAATTTGATGACGTTGTGCAGGCAATCAAAGACTACGCATTTGTAGCGTCTGAGTAAGTGCTGATTATTTTTAATTACCTTGAGAGTAAAGCTTTTCAGAATATTCTGCTGCAAAAATAAAGACAGTATTTTGAATCCCACTACTCTCCCCTCTTTGTTCTTAAACTTTTCAAGCGTGTTTGGCATTCCAAACATTGTCTTAACAGACTAGAAAAGATTTCACAAAATTCCTCCTTGCAAAATTCAGGATGACCTCCTGGCTATTGTCAATCGCTTTAAGCAACTTACTTAATTATAATAAATTAATTAAATCATCTGTCCTATTGCAAATCTGTGGTGCCGTATTATGGTGATTTTATCATAGTTTTATTTTAACATTTTATCTCGTATATTGTATTGCCGCATTCTTTCTATCTATATGTCTTTCTGTGTGTGTCGTTGCCGATGCTTTATTTAAACTTATATTTGAGTTTGTAGGTACAGTGGGTTTTATTAGTGTTGTATATCAGTGTTTGCATGACCCCTGTAGATGCCATGCACTAAATTAATGAATAAACTTGCTTGCTTTGCAAGCTTTATTTGATTTCTGCAATGCCATATTGGTATAAAGAGTACCAGTTCTGGGAATCCAGCTGCTCTTTTCCACTGAAAAACTCATATGACTCACAGTGGAAGATTAGATTTAAATAGATAAGTGGACAATAGATGCAAAATAGATACGTGACCAATTATGAATGGTTTATTGACTCTGTTAGTAAAGAACTGTCAAATGTGCAAACAGATTCAAAGCCCGCCTACCATATTTCTTCAATTTACTTGTAACAATGTATGAGAATGACCTTGGGAGAGTAGGGAAAGAGATGCTGCTTGGGAACGATTAGATGAGAACGTGCCTAGCCCACAGCTGCATAACAGGCAGAGAAAACAATCCCGAAAGGAACTTCCTTATCTTACCAGGCTGTAAAAGAGACAGCAGGAAATTTGTGGGTAGTTCCCCTTTGATAACATGGAAAACTGGCATTTCATTTTGGTATGCTTTGCAAGATTCTGTTGACATAGCCTTAAAATAAAGCAGAATTGGTTCAAATTCCAGAACTCTTTTCAAGTTGATTAGCTATAGACCAGTGGTTCCCAATATGGAGCCCATGCCCCACAAGGGGGGGGGGGGATTTGGATTTTTAATGGGGGCAATTTGAACCTTGTTAATGGCCTTTTAGGCTTCCTCCGCGTGAGTAGAGTTCACTTTTTGAGTGAAGTAAGAATTATATGTCACAAGGAGGGCATCAGGATTTTAGAGATGCTTAGGTGGGGCAAGGCCAAAAAAGGTGGGGAACCACTGCTATAGACACAAGGTTTGTAGGGCCTACTCTTATAACGGCTAAACCAATCGTTCTCGCTCTCGACAACTTTAAGATGGGTGGGCTTCAACTCCCAGAATTCTCCAGCCAGCCATGCTGGATGGAGAATTCTGGGAATTAAAGTCCACCCATCTTAAAGTTTCAAAGGTTAGGCTAAACCCAAAGATGCTTTTGTCCCAAAAGGCAACAGACTTTCTTGGGTTTTTTTTCTTTGAAAACGTTTTGTTTCTTCAGAACTGCAGAAGCTTCTTGGGTGAGAAGCAAAATGTTTTCAGAGACAAAAACTAAGCAATCCCAGTTGCCTGTCAGTGAAAGCATCTTTGGGACAACCATGACCTGAATGATTTAGAATCTCCATAGACATTAGACTAAACTCTAGTCCAGGGGTGTCAAATTCAAGGCCCGGGGGCTGGATCCGGCCCGCTGGGTGCTTAGACCCGCGACCTGGAAACTGCAAAGGACTGGCCCATGGTGCCTTTGCCAGCAAAAATAGCTTGTGAAGGCCGTGTGCGGCACTCCCGAGCTTCATTTTTGGTGGCAGGGGATTGCAGGAGGCCATTGCAGCTGAAAACGGATCCTGTTTCCGCTGGCAGAGCACTCAGGCCACCGCAAGCACCCCCAACGTGAGTGACATCGAGCCAGCCATGCCCACTCTGGCCCCCTGAGGTTAATTAAAACCCTGATGGGGCCCTCAATGAAACCGAGTTTGACACTCCTGCTCAGTCAAGATGTATCCAAGGGAATTCTTATTACCCTCTTCCTTAGTATTTCTCTCCTTTTCTGAAGCTACCCCGTGATCTTGTCCATCGAAGAGCATTGTAGCGTGGAGCAGCAGCGTCACATAGCAAAGGTGTTCCGGGAAGTGTTTGGAGACCAACTTCTAGCAAGGCCTGTGGAAGCCAGTGCTGATCAGCTCCCATCTCCAACTCAGTTGAAAGGAAAAGTCATCATTAAGGTAAGTTTGGTTTGGCAGTAAAAAATAAAGTAATGTAACAAAAAGCAGAGATGTAATTGTACTCCCTCTGTTGAATGGAACTGAGATGGAGGCAATGGTGAAATTCAATTTTTTTTACTACCGGTTCTGTGGGTGTGGCTTGGTGGGCATGGTTGGCTTGATGGGAGTGGCTTGGTGGGCGTGGCAGGGGAAGGATACTGCAAAATCTCCATTCCCACCTCCTCTGGGGCCAGCCAGAAGTGCCATTTGCTGGTTCTCCAAACTACTCAAAATTTCTGCTACCGGTTCTCCAGAACCTGTCAGAACCTGCTGGATTTCACCCCTGGATGGAGGTTTTCTATTCTTGAGAACTTTCTCCCTGGATGATAGAAAGTATAAGATTTAGGAAATGCCCAAGATTTATTATTATTATTATTTCTCTTCTCTAGCTTTGGATTTGGGTACGGTGTTAGCTTTCTACAATTCATCCATCTGTCCATTCTTTCTTTTAAAATTGTATTTAATAAAAAAGAACAAAGAGAAAGGGAATCAAGCAATAATAGAAAGAAAAAGAGGGCAAAAATAGGCAATGTCACATCAAACAAGGTTATATAGAAAGGCTTTTGATGCATTTATGCAGTTCTACAAAATAGTTTCAACAAAGGATAACTATATTTCATTATAATTATCCATCTGTAAACTATGTCTGTAATTACAGCAGGTCCTTGACTTACAACTGGTAGCTTATGATTGTTTGAAGTTACAATGGATTACACACAAATACACACAAACACACACACACTAAAATATCTACTGCTATCTTCTTTTCCAGCAAATGCATTATTTTTAAAATATCGTGATAATTAATCTAATACTAATAGCACAGGGTTGGCATTCAACAGAAGCGGTACGCCTTAAATTTGCTAGAGTTAAAAGCCAGCTTTCATCCAGATCAGAATTGACCATTCTTTAGAACAATTTCATTCCTAACCAACGCCCACCATAAAACAATTCATCTTGTCCTTAATAATTCCAAGCGGTGAAGCAGGTGTACATCTTGGCAGGCTTCTCTTTCTCGTGAACAAATCCTGGAAATACAGAAAATTTCACTGGGAGTAGCAAAGGAAAGCGACTTTTGCATTTGTATGTTTCAAAGTCGAATTGTTGAGAATTAAGCACTATTGTAATATTGAGTGCCAGAGATCCTCAGTCATGGAAACTTTAAATTTTCCAAAGCAAAGAAACTGTATACAGTGAGATTTTAGCCCAGGGCTGTCAAACTCGGTTTCATTGAAGGCCGCATCAGGATAGTGTTTGACCATGGGGGTCCAGGGTGGGCGTGGCCAGCTCAACGTCATTCGTGTCAGAGGCGCCTGTGGTGACCCAAGCACTCTGCCAGCAAAAAGGGGCTCCATTTTCGACTGTGATGGCCTCCTGCAACCCTCTTCCAGCGAAAATGGAGCTTGGGAAGACCACCCATGATACTCGTGAGCTCTGTTTTGGGCTGCGATAGCATCCTGCAACCCTCTGCCAATGAAAACGGAGTTCGAGAAGGCTGGCCATGGCCCTCCTGAACAGCCTCTTAGTTTAGTGACTTAAGTGCCAGCCCTTAGATTATGCTACAATTTGGGTCAACAAATAATGTCTTTCTTGGTCATTATCTCAGGAAAGTGAAATGAGAAAGCAGTTGGTCTTGGGCGTGGAGCAGAAACTCTTAATGATGCTCGTGTTCTTTAAACGGCATTGTCTTCTTTAAGGGTGTTGTTTAGAGTAGAAGCTCAAGGGAAAAGTCTTGGAGAACTCATCCAAGGTGTTCGTTTCTCACGATTGCTTCCTTCATTTACACCAGCATAAAAAACTGGGGCCTAAAGGTGATGTCGATGTGAACACAGAAGATAAGAAAGAGGAAAAGAAGCAACAAGGGGAACTCTACATGTGGGACACCATTGACCAGGTAACCAATGTTCCTACTTCTCCTGTTCCTTTGTAACTGGCATTCATCATGGAGAAATGAGGAGGGAAAGAGATATTTTGAGGAGTGTATTGCTATCTTTTTCTGATTTGGGGGCGAACTTGTCTTTAAACTATGTTTGGCCTTGTAGAAATGGACTCGCCATTATTGCGCTGTAGCCAATGGAAAGCTCTCCTTCAGTGATGACATAGAACAGAATGCCGAAGAAGAACCATTGAAGGTATGTAAACTCGTAACTTATGCATTTACTTATTTTTTATTAAATTTACGTGCCACCTGACACCCAGCAACTCTGGAAGATTTAAATCAGAATTAAACCAAAACTTAAAATAAAACCAGAAGTTAAAATTAAATCTAAACGTAAAAAAAAATATTAAAATTATATCAAAAATTGAAATTAAATTGATCAAATTAAATCAAAGCTAGCAACAGCTATCCCACTGCCAAAGTGGGCGGTATTTCAACCAGCAGTGAAAATGATTGGCAAACTATTAATCCTATCAAATCTGACCAAGGTGTTTATCACTACAGGTAATCTTTGTGTCAATGTTCCAACTGATGAACCCAACCAAGCAAGCACAATTGAGATGATCCAATCTCTTAATACAAAACTTTATTAAGTACATCATTTTGGCACCGATTAAAGCAAAACCAGCTCTAGCTAATTCCGGTGTAATCCCACATAATTGAAGTATAGAGTTCTCCTCGCCCTATTAATGCAGGTCCAATTGAGTGTCATTTTATTGTTATGAGGAAGTGTCTTTGGGTTTTCCAAATACCTGCTGAAGTGTCCTTGGCTCTCACAGTTTGTCTTCTTGGTGTCTGGAGTCTACATTTTACCTTCCCTCCCCCCTAGTTCGTTGGCAAACTGAGAAGCGATAATAGTTGCAACATCATAAGCGCGCTTTGAACTTGACACTTTGACTTACATTCATGCAACCATAGTTCAAGTTAGATTGCTCTTGGGAAAAGTCTTCAAAGGTATGGCCATCGTACCACCTCTGTAGTCACATGATTGCAATTTTGGTGCTTGGCAACTAAGCCAGATCTGTTTAACCGTGTGATTCATTTAGTGACCGCAGTAAAAAAATGCACATAAAATGTGAGCCAGTCATGTGATGACTCCCTTAACAACTGCATCACTTAGTAACCAAAATTCTGGTATCGGTTCTGGTCGTATGTCAAGGACGAGCTGTACGTGATCAATGGAAGGTCAAATTGAAGAAGGGTGAAATATTCTTCGTTATATTTTAGGAAGTGAAAAGTACAGAGCTACACTACGGTGAGAAATGGTTCCATGGGAAGATGGCAGAAGGGAGGACCACAGCTGAAAGGCTCCTGCAGGAATATTGTGCTGAAATGGGTGGCAAAGATGGGACCTTCTTGGTCAGGGAGAGTGAAGCCTACCCAAAGGATTACACCCTCTCGTTCTGGTAAGGGCTAATTTGGAACACACTTTTTCTGTTTCGGTGCACGAATCAAGTTTTTGTCACTTTGGGGAAGAAGGTGTATTGGGGGGGGGGTGTATTTGTCAGGGTTCCATGTAATAATCCCATAGCAAACAAAACTCCGAGGCAAGTAGATTCCTCAAAGAATATTTTATTGGATATATTATATTGGCACAGTTCTGGTGAAAACCAACTCTGAAGGTTCCCGCGGTTTTCACCTAATTAAAAGAAAAAGGTTTTCCCCTTCCCCAAGCACCCAGTTACATGGTCCAGTCAAGGTGCTGACCGATTGCCTGGTAACTTCACTCCTCCTCTCTGACCAGGTGTGAGAATGTCCTTGGTTCCCAGGAGAAAGAGTTTTGTTTTGGCTACAAAACCCCAGCTATCTCTACTCCCCCCATCCTTAACCTTCAACTCCAGTGTGGCAACACTGAAATCCAAAATGGCTTTGTCCAGGTCAGCTTCAGGGTTGGCAGTACTAAAATTACTGTTGTTGTGCAGTGTTGTGTTGTGAGGCTGAATCGGGCTCAATGTAATCCACAAACGGTCCCAGATTCTGCTCCTTTTGTCAACCTTTTATGAAAGGTTATACATAATTGGAAGTGGAAAAACAAACATCCTGATTCAGATGGGTCAATTGTGTAGGGACTAAGCAAGCTGTTTCCTGAATTTGTTCTTAGGTTTTGGCTGTCTTCGAAGCAAATCTAAGGAAGTAAAACACTTTAAAGCCGTGGCTTTTCAATCTTAAGAAGTCTAGACTTCAACTCAAACAACCAGCCTACGTTTTGCTGAAAATACCAAATTTTCTTCTGGTTTTTTGTTTTGTTTTGGCCAAAAGGAGCCCATAAGCAAATCATGGTTTGCTTAACAATCTCCACAAAAAAGGTTGGTGGGAAGGCAACAGCGCTCCATGCGCCTTCGGCGTTTAGTCATACTGGCCACATGACCACGGGGATGTCTTCGGACAGCACTGGCTCTTCGGCTTTGAAACAGAGATGAGCACAGCCCCTTAAGAGTCGGGAATGACTAGCACATATGTGCCAGGGGAACCTTTACCTACAATTGAGGTGACCCAGTTTCCTTCCATCTTCTTTCTCTTTTCTTGATGCAAACAGTTGCAATTCCCAAATTAAAAGAAGAATGAGGGTTCTTTTTTAAAAAAAAACAACATAACATTCTCTTTTCCTCGTTCGTCCTAGGCGATCAGGTAGAGTCCAGCATTGCCACATCCGCTCTTCTACAGATGGGGACAGCATCAAATATTACCTGACCAATAACCTCACCTTCGACAGCATTTCTGACCTCATCCAGCATTACAAAGAAGCCCATTTACGGTGTGCTGAGTTTGAGCTGCGTTTGACTGATGCTGTCCCGAATCCCAAACCTCACGAATCTAAGAAGTACGTGGAACCAAGAGGAAATTCCAGGGCGGGGGTGAAATGCTATTTTTAATACTGAAGCTTTCCGTTTGGTCTTTGCTACGGTGGCTGATGGAGAATTTGATTTAAGACAACAGGGAAAGTCAGCTGAACTGACCGCAGTGATGACTTATGCCTCGACTGTGCAGCTTTAACCTCAGGAGCCTGGAAAGAGCTGCAAACTTTCTGGGAACAAGTTCTTTAAGATAATCACTTGGCCAAGAGAGAATGGGGAGACGTTAATTGAGCGGGATTCTCTCGCTTTACTTTCTCTCCTTTTGAAACCGCAGTGGAATGGGCTTCTGGTTGGGTTGAGTGCTTCTTCTGTCTTCATCTCTGAAACTGCTCCAGATTAACTATTAGGATTCTTCCATCTACACCTTTGAAATTAGGTTTAAGGGGGTAGGTTTTGGTGAAGTTGTTTCTTTCTCTTCAGTTAAACTGGAATTGAACTGGGAGGCTCGTGATGGCGAACCTACAGGTGGCATGTGGAGCCCTCTCTTTGGGCATGCGAGCTGTCGCCCTAGCTCAGCTCCACTGCGCATGTGTGTGCGCTTCCCGCTGGGCAGCTGATTTTCGGGTTTCTGCTGTGCATGCAGGAGACCATTTTTGGTCCCTGGAGGCTGCAGGGAGGCATGCTAGGCCCAAAACAGTGGGGTGTGTCTGTGCATGCGTGGGGGGCAGGGCACACGGGGTGAGTGGGTGTCACGCGCACATTGTATTATGAGTGTAGGCACATGCGCTATCTCATGCACGTGCATGCTTTCGGCACACAACAAGAAAAAAGTTAGCCATCACTATGGTAGGCAAACCTTATCTTTGTACGAGCTCCCTACTTATATTTGACCACTGGTTTGGAAATCTTTTTTTCCCATTTTTTAAAATTCTCTCACATACCATTGTAACTATACGTTCACATAATTGTTATTCTTCTTTACATTTGTCGCTCTTATACATTTGTTATTCATTTAATAGGTTATAATATACAGTTTGGGTTGCTTTATTTACCATCCCTTCCGCCTGTTCTAACATCCCCTTATTTTCCCTTTCTTTCCTCCCTCCCTTCTCTACTTCCTCCCTTCCTCCTCTCCTTCCCCTTCCTTCTTCCCTTCCCTTTTTCCTACTCC